TATTGTTACCCTGAAGCTGTACCTGTGTATCTACTTGCAATTTCTGACTATCAAACCGCTATGTTGACCGGACCGGGACCCGAGACGGGGGCCCGCTCCGCCGCGCTGCCCACGGGTCATGACTGCCAGACCACCAACCCCCTGGTCGCAGTTCAGCATTCTAACCACTGATCCGCTGCGGTCCCTTCTTCTTTCCCTGTACCTCCACCCAGGGAAACAATGGTAGATGTAATCTCGGCCTGCAAAACTTGGTGGTGGGGCTTCCCTTCCTGCAGGAGTCCCTTGGAGGATGACCTTCCCCCGGCTCTCTGCTTGCATGTGTGGGTTTTGGGGCTGTGCTGGGGCTGCCGCCCCACCCCCCTGGCTTCCCGTGTCCTGAAGCCGTTGGGTGCCACCCCAGGCCGCTCCCATCAGGTCCCGGCTGAAACCCTGAAGGGCTGAAGGGTTGCGGTGCCAAGCCGACTGGGTCCTGCAGCAATCGCCGCTGGTGATCCCTGCAGCAGCTGCAGCTGGTGATCCCTGCAGCCGTTGCGGCTGTGGGAGAAAATGTGGTTGTGGGGCCTTTATGGCGACCTCCTGGACCACTTGGGATGGGGGGGAGCAGGTACTGACTGGCTTCTTGCATTCAGCCAACCCCGCGCTGGTGTAGCTTCCCTTTCCGACCCCCAAATTCCTCTGGGGTAAGGGACTGAGGCTCCACAAGGCCTCCATTACAACCATTTCCCCCTGGGTCCTCTCTTCTTTGTGGAGGAGGGTGAGCTGGAAGAGGAACTGGAGCTCAATGAGCAGTGTCCTCCTTAGCCAAGACAAAATTGTGGAGGCTAAAATCCGTGAGCCAGCCCACACTAATTCAGCTTAGAGGGAACACTGGATGTTACTAGTGGTTTGTCATCCTATGTTGCTTCTTCAAGGCTTAATCTGATTCAGGGTACCTAAGGGCTCCTCCTGTGGCCCCTGGTGTAGCCTGTATCCCGCTTTTCCTCCCAACCAGCCTGGGAGTTCTGTGGGAGCCCCCCCCTTGGTAACCTCCAAGGGGCAATGGGGCTGTGTTCCAGGGTCCCCCTAGTACCGGCCACATCCACGGATGGGCCGGAGCCATAGCTGGAGGAACGAAAACGGCCCTGGTCGGCTGCACCTGCGAACGCCTGTGTTGACAGAGGCAACGTCGGGGTTGCTGGCACTGGCTGAAAAGCGTCCGGCTGTGCTCCTGTCGCGAGTGCCCACGGACCCGGATGGAAGTGGGCCAGCTGCGTGCTCGCCGCCCCCGCCCATGAACTCGCCGGCCCGAAGTTCCCCCCGAGGGTGAGAAGGGGAGTTGGCCAATCCGGGCCGGGTCCGCTGGGCTGTGCTGGGCCCGGCTCTCTGGGCTGTGGAGCGCCAAAGCCGCTGGGCCCCTCAGGGGCTGGGAGCGCGGTTGGAGTTAGGCCGCTGGGCTGAGGAGCACCGAAGCCGCTGGGCCCTAGGCCGCAGCCGTCGGGCTGTCCCGGGGGCTCATTAGGTGGCCGTGATGGTGATTTGTCTCTGCCCGTGGGTATCGCTGGCTGTGCCGGCGTTTTTCTGGCCGGGATTCCGGGCCTGCGCGGGCTCTTCCCCGCGCCCCGCACAAGCGGCGATTTGGGGGCCAGGGGCGATCCCGTCCCGCTTGTTCCCCACCGGCCTCCCCCCCCGTCCGGATAGACCTCACCCGCTGGGCTCGCCGGCCCCGTGGCTTTCCCGCGGCGTTTTGCCTTCCCGGAGGCTTTGCTGGCCGCTCCTCCAGCCGATCTCGGCGCTGGCTAGATCTTCTCCACTTGCGGTCGCCGTCGCTGCCAGCTGCCTCCGGTGCGCCGCCATCTTCCGCCACGTGAGGAGGGGGTTCGCGGGGTCCGGCTGGCTCAGTGCGTTCAGCCGGGCCCGCGGTTGGGGAGCTGAGCTGGCGTCGTGCTGGAGTGGCTCGATTCCTGGCTGCTGGACGCTGAGCTGGCCAACTCCCGGAACCTCGGGAGTTTTCGGCCGCTGCTCCCTTTGTTCCAGCGATGCGGCCATCTTCCTCCTGGTCCTTGGAGCTGTGGCCGATGTCTGACCTTTCCTCCGGATCCTCCGGGTCCTGGTCTTCCTCGGCTCTGCTGTGCAGAATTTCTTCTGCAGTCGTAGAGTCGAAATTTTCCTGAATTTGTACAGTCTTCCCTGCCTACTGTTGTTAAGGCTTGGAGCAGGAGCTCCAGACGTCCTATCAAGCGCAGGGCTATGCAGAAACTGGAGAGGTCAGCCTAGGCCACTCCAATAGGAGCCACGCAACAAAAGAAATTTGCATAGCCTATCGAGCGAGCAGAGGCGTGACCTGTTCCTGGATGACTTCCCCCCACTGAAGGAGAATAGAATTTTTCACCAGCTATCAAAAACAAAAGCAGATATAATCTGCCTACAAGAGACTCATATAAAGGAAGATGATATTAAATACTTAAAGTGCCAAAAATTAGGTACAGTCGTTATATATGGGAAAGAATATCTACATCCGCAAATAGTATATAGATCTAAAGATGGAAGAATTATAGCCATAACAGTCATGGTTAATGGGAAAGAAATGTTAATCATAAATATTGATGCACCAAACCAAAGCCAAGAAAATTTCTATAGAGAAATTGGAAAGATTCTGGAAAGGAAAGAGACTGAAAGTATATGTATTATAGGCGACTATAATGCAGTTTTTGACCCAAAAATTGACCGAAAAGAACATAAGAAAAATTTAAAATCGGGGCTGCTCTTACCTAAATCCTTCTTGAGGTTAGTAGAGGAGTTTAAGATGGTAGATGCATGGAGAACCAGAAACATAAACAAATTGGATTATACTTACTACTCATCTAGGCATAAGTCGTGGTCAAGGATAGACATGGCTTGGATCTCTACGGCAATGCTAAAAGATCTAAACGATGCAGAAATACTAACAAATACCTACACAGACCATAACCCGATACAGTTGATATTCCAACAAAGGAAAACAAATATGAGATGGAGGATAAACACTAACCTTTTAATAGATTAAAAATTGTGACAGAAATAATTATAGAAATACAAGAATTTTTTAAAAGGAATACTTCAAAAGAAACAGTAATTGATATTATATGGGACACATTTAAAGCGTTCTTGAGAGGTTGGTTTATATCTCAGGATGCTTGGAGAAGAAAACAGAGATTAGAAAAATTGGAGAAATTGGAGGCAAACATAAAGGTTGAGGAAGATAAAACGAAGAAACTGCCAAAAATAGGACTAAGACTTAAAATTAAGTACCTTCAGCATAAAATGAATATTCTATTATCACAAGAAATAGCTAGGAAGATAGAGTATGCAAAGCAAAACTTTTTCGAAAATGCTAACAAACCTTCAAGGTGGTTATAGCATATAAATTGAGAAAAGAGAGAGAAAAAAGAACAATACTTGCATTACTAGATGAAAAACATGAATTAAAATATAAGACAGAAGATCTAAAAAATATAGGCTGCAGTCACACAGAGCATTAGGCACGCTAGAGGGACGGAAGATAGACGGAGTTTCTGGGCGTGATCTCACCGGCACATCTGGGAAGCGTCGGGCTCCCGTGGTGCAACTGAGGCTTCCCGCCAAAGACGCGCAGTAAAAAACTAGTACCTCGGAGGTACTAGTTTCCTGAAACCGCGGGGCAAGGGCGGGCGTCCGATCGCGTTTCCGGAGGTAGTTCCAGCGCCCGCCCATGTCCCCTCAGAAATCCCCCCCCCAAAGTCTCCACGGATGCGCACACACACCCAAGGGAGCATGCGCACATTTGAGTTTAAATAAAAAAACAACCAACCCGTTTGCCCTGCGCCCCGCTTCTTTGCCACGCCGCAGGACAGTGGAGTGATTGGCACCTCCCCCCTACCACGGGACCTCTACGGGACCTCGATTGGTATGTCTGATCAAGCAACCGCGCGGTTTTTAGCCCCGGGGCTAACAGCCACGTTTCCCCCCCGCATTTTCATGCCCGTGTGACCGGGACCATAGTAAAGCAATTTTATAAAAAGCTTTATCAACAAGAAACGATAAACTCTCAAGAAACAGAGAACTACTTAAAACAATACAATACTAAGAAATTTAATGAGATACAGAAAAAAATATTGAATGACCCAATTGCGCCATATGAAATAGCAGAAGCAATAAGAAAACAAAAGAAGAACAAATCACCGGGTCCCGATGGAATATCAAAAGTTTGAAGAGCAAATTACACCACCATACAAAGAATTACTACAAAAGATAGTGGAAGAAGCATACATGCCTAAATCTTGGGAGGAGGCCCTAATATCATCACTTCCTGTTTCTATCACATGATGAAGTGGCATGCCATTGGAAGTTTGTAGCACATACTCGAATCCTTGAAAATGATTGATGTTAATGCCTCACTAATGCATCATGCGAGTTTTGCAAGGCCATGGATGGAGAAGACACTGCAGGAGACAAATTTCCAGGTGCCTCAGTCACCCTGTGTGAGGCCATGGAGCGAGACCAGTCATGTGATTTGTCTTCACAGGATGTTTCGGTTGGGTCTGTGTGGATGTGAAGAGGACACCAGATGTAAAAGCCCAGAAAAAAGGCCCCAGAAATATCCTAGTCCCCCACCGCAACGACTTTCAGCTTTTCAAGTAGAGAAATTGGGAAGTTTTGGAAAAGCACAAAAAACTCATTTTTTTTTCTTGTGGAGTTAGTAAAAAGCTCTTTATGCTAAGCTTTTACTCACTTTTTGAGTAACACTCAAGTGTAACATTAAAAAGTGCAAAGACTTCTTTTCCCAGTTCTTCGACTGAAAGCACTGGGAACTTTGGCAGAATACTCTGTTCTTTTGGAATAAGAGAAGCTTGCTAAGACGGCATAAGGTGTAGCTTGCAGTTCTCGCTTGCTTTATTTTATGACTTGGCTTGCAGAAAAACATTTATGCTGTTGCATTCAATAAATTTGCCAATTAATACAAACATATATGCTAACTTTACCCTTCTAGATCGGCAAGCACCTACCTTCAAAGAACTTGGATGCTAGGACAGGCTCTACAAACATGGATAAACCATCTTCCAGCTCTACCAGTGCAACATCATAAGGAGAAGCATCCTGGGTCACAAACACCACTTTCCCTTTAGTCACCAACGTCCTAGGAGTAAACAGATGGTTACAACATGTACTGGAGTGGATCTTACCTACAGATACTGGAGCAGCACCTATAGGAAAGAGTTTCCCTGCCTCACCTCTCCTGTTGCAGCCTGGGGGGAGCAAAGTAAGGAGTCACACATTCCTCTCTTCATGTGGGTGTCTTCTGCCTGTGAAAATTTTAGCAATGCTCAACTGACAGAAGTAGTAAGACACAGAAACAAAGGGTACAGCTGACCAAAAAAGGTCTACTGTACCTCTGAAGTGAACAGGATCTGCAAAGCACACCCTTGTGTTTACTGGGTGTCTCTGAAGAGTAAATTACAGACCCGATGTAATTCCTAGGCCCACTGACTTCACCTAGTAAGCAGAAGCAGCCCACAGCTCCTTAGTGCAACAATAACTTATTTAACAAGAAAGCTACCCAGAAAGTTATTTTCATTTTAAACAAACGTCTCACCCAGAATTCAGAAGTCTCCCCCCTAAGTGCTCCTTGTGTACTCCCATATTTATTATCTCTGTGCTTCCTTATAGGAACTTATTTGCCCAATTCAAGTGTTAACATGGGGACTTCAGCAGCTCATGTAAGACCTTTGGCCTTCTAGGAGACCCACATGTCAGAAACACCCAAACTGATCTGGAGGGTACTACAAAGGTCCACAGCTTAACAATTCCACTGGTCCTGCTCAGGGGTCCAGCTCAAGGCCTTGTAAAATCCTGGGTTGGGCTTCCCCTCCAGCCTGGCTCCTTCCTCCTTCCATTAATTTATGTCTCTCCACACCACATCTGTAATTACTAGTTAGCACTTAAGATATTTTAAATTCTGATTTATTAGTCTTAATTGCTTGTAAATTGTATTATCAAAAATGTTGTTCCCTGCCCTGAGGGGGTGGTGGGGAGGGAGAAGAAGAACAGAAAACAAGCAACCACAACAATGAAGATTAGGAATCTCACCACAAACAGGAAAATCTAGACTTACTGTTCAGGGCCGGGTCGTATCCTCACCCGGACACTTGATACTCCACTGACCACGTGGCGACAAGTCAACACCACCTTGGAGCTCACTATCACCCCAGACCCCCAGGAGAGTCCACACTCCACCAGCACGACAGCCGCCAGCATCTGCTGGACCGGCCCACCTCTGGCGACGGCCGCCTTCCGGGCCTTGGCCCCAAGTCGTAGCGGGGGAAGCCAGATGTTCGGGAACCGGCGCGGCTCCGCGAGGACACTCCGGAGGCTCTCCAGGATGCCGTCGACAGCGCAGACCAGCGTGAGGCCGACCCACTCGTTGGATTTCCAGCACAGCGGCGCGACGACGATCCCCACGAGCTGGGGGCCGGCCGCGGAGATGGCAAAGATGGCCCCGCCTTCGGTGCCCGGCAAGCAGCGGGCGTCCGTCAGGATCAGGGCGTTGCCTTCCCCGGCCAGGTTGCTCACGATCCCCTTGCTCAGGGTGTTCAGGAAAATGTCCGGGCAGAACGACCCGAAAGGGGAGCCGCAAGCCAAGAGCGGGTCCCCTTTGCTCAGAAGCGCGGCCGGCGCGCAGCCCACGGCACCCGCTCCGCCGAGGTCGCCGCCGCCGCCGCCGCCCAGGAGCCTCAGCAAGGCAAACCAGTGCAGGAAACGCAGCTCGTCGCCGAGTGACCCGGCCTCTCCTTTCCCGACCGCCGCCGCCGCCTCCTCGTCCCCCACGCCGAAGTGCCACTGCTCCGAGGCCCCGAAAACTTTGGCGAAGGCGCGCTGGAAGGGCCGGCAGGGGACCAGCGCCAAGAGTTCGGCGTCGTGGCGCTCCAGGCCGCCGGGGGCCTCCTCCTCCTCCTCCGGGCCACTGGAGAGCGGGTGGAACCTCACGGCCGGGCCGCCGCCCTGCGAGGCCTCGCCGGGCCGCCTGAGCCCAGCGCTGCTGCCGCCGGGCCTGAGCACGCGGATCCGGAGGTCTGGCGAGAAGCTGCCGGCGAGCAGGGCGGCGCGCTGGGACCAGTCCGGCCGCTCCGACGCCAGCAGGAAAGGAGAGAAGATCGCCCCGTGGCAGAGGACAACGGCCGGCCTCGGCGACAAGAGCACGCCGCTGCAGCTCCAGGGCCCCCGGGGCGGGGATTCGGGAGCCCCCTCGCCGGCGCCCCGCGAGTGAGAGACGCGGACCACGCAGCCCACCTGCCCGCCAGCCCGGCGCCAGAAGCAGAGGGAAACCCCGGGCGCGGAGGGGGCTGGCCGGGGGGGTTGCGAAGGCAGCCCGGAGCGAGGGAAGGGGCGCCGACTACGGACGTGGGAACGGCCCCCCGGCTTGCCCATCCGTGCCAGCCTCTAGCCGCCGGGAGCCCACGGCCCACCTCGGCTGCAGTCTCGCCCTGCCGGTGCTGCTGGGGAAAGGAGCTCCGCTTCGGAGCACAAGCGCCAAGCCTCCCGGAGCCCGGTTGCAAAACAGCAGCAAGGAGAAGACGGAGGAACTGGCAGTCAGGTGGGGAGACGGGATCGCGTTCGTATTGGCGGTTCGGTTTACAAGAGGGCTGCGATTGGTTGGATAGACTGGCACAAGGGACGTGTTCGCGGATTGGCTGCTTTAGGATCCTTCTTCCTCTGGGAGTGAGGATGTGGCCAACGGGGCTGAAAGTTATGCAGTTTGACAGGTGGAAGATCTCACTTATTTGCTTGACCCGGGCAGAGTGTAACGCTGGAGCGAACGAACAGATCCGTGCTAGAAATTTAAACCCACTCGGCAGCCACGATCCCCATCAACCTTGGGAAATACGATTCAGAACATATGAGTAGCCACACTGGACCAGAAATGTGGTCCAGCTAGCCCAACATCCTGAGTCCAAGGCTAGCCAGAAAGTCCATAAACCAGATTCGCAAAACCTGCACATAGGCATCTGACTGCCGCTCAAACTGTAGGCCTCACAAAAGGAAGGAGGAATTCTCAACAACCTTACAATACATGGATTCCTTTGGTCAAACTGGTTTGAGAACACTGTTCACATTGCATTGTAAACGTGCCATTTTCCAGAAATCCAGATCTACATGGCTTCTCCTGGAAGCTCTAGTTTTTTTCAACTAACTCCTCCAAATCCAATGTCAAATCACATGTCAAAGCCAAGACAGCGGACTAAACCTTAAAAAACATGGATCCAATACTTTGTTGCACTGCAATGGCACAAAAACATGGCTCCTCATGGATTCACATGAGTTTTACATATAAACAAAATAAAACCACCTTTATATTGTAGATCATAGGCAGCTCCTATGTCTATAGGCAGCTCCACAAAAATCATGCATCCACTGTTTTGTGGCATCACAGTGGCACAAAAACATAGTTCCAAAGTGTGGATCTTCATGGATCCTCACAATTTTTGCTTTGAGTCACCCCAAATGAACCATCAAATCATGTGCCACATCCATAGCCATGTATTATACCAGAAAAATCACAGATCCACTGCTTCATGGTGCTGCCACAGTGCAAAATTGTGATCCCAAAGCACAGAAACACATGGATCCTCAGAATTTTTACATTGGCTTGCCCCAAACTCACTATCCAGTCACACATCATGTTCATGGCAACAAAATGCACAACAAAAATCACACATCCACTGCTTCATGGCAGCACCAGGGTGCAAAAAGATGATTCCAAAGTACAGATCCTCATGGATCCTCAGGATTGTTATGTTTGGTCATGCCAAATTCATTATCCAATCACATATCATGTCTGTGGCTACAGGTTGCACCACAAAAATCACAATTCCATTGCTTCATGGCACTGCCACCGTGCAAAACCATGTATCCAAAGCATGGCTCCTCACAAGTTTCATGTGGGATCGCCAACAAATCACATATCACATCCATGGTGACCTATTGCATCACAAAAAGCCTGGGCCCACTTTTTCATGGCACCAACATGGCTCAAAAACATAGAACCAAAGCACCAGATCCCCATGGATCCTCAAGAATTCTATGTGGGCTCAGCCAAAACTCATTAGGAAATGACATATCACATCCATGCCCACAGAATGAACCACAAAGAGCACAAATCCTAGTTTTTGTGGCACTCCCATGGTGCAAAGGTAAAGGTTCCCTTGCTCGAAAGCCAGTCGAGTTCGACTCTAGCATCAAATACCTGGATCCTTATTTTTTGTGTGTGTTTTTTAAAATGTGCATTTCCCCCCCAGCTCTACCGAAGCATTTTTATGATCTATATTGGAATGTTCCATGAAGAAATCTTGAAAGTGCAAGAGGATATGTATCCTGGATCCATGTTTTTGTACCATTACACAGTGTAAGCATTCTTACAGCAGCAGACAGTACTACAGTCACCAGGCCCTGTTCCTTGAGCAAAGCATCTTTCTGAGCTGTTTAATTACAGTACAGCCCGATTGCTTGTGTAGAAAATTCATCGTTGCATGCGGCAATGCCTTCCTTTCCCATCCCTGGTTCATAGGTATTTTTAATAGTGTAGCCCTCCAAAGGATCTGAGGCAGGCTGGCCCCTTGATCCAAGGAGACTTCAGGAGGGCCATTCAGGTTGCCCAATGAGGTTCTAGAAGGGAGGGTGTAGATGGTTCCACTGACTGTTGGACATCACTTGTATTTGCTGGCTGATCTCATGTCTTTTGGGCAGGGTTTGTGTGTTTAATTTGTTTATATTTCCTCCCATGGGTCTTAACACTTACTAGAAAGATGGGACATTAATTAAAAGATTGCACATAATATTGTGCTGTCCTGGAAAATGGGGCCTAATACTGAAAAACCCACCTCTCTATTCAGGCCCAGCAACTTGCAACTCCATGCCCATGACAATTGCCATCCCATCCTTCCCAGGAACGTTGCTAGCCACCAGTCTAGACAAACAAACATTCCACTGAGCCAACGTCAAGACGATGGAATTAGCATGGAGGGGCGTGAAGCTGTACATCAACAACAAGGTCCTGAAGTCCAGGGTAAGAGCTTGTGGCTGATGGACACATGCCTCAGGCTGCTAGAAAGAGACGAATCCTGCGACAATTCAATGCAACCTAGGAATCCATCTCATTTCCTACTCATTTAAAACCAACTTGTTTACACCACTTAAGGTAACAGAACATTCTTGTTGAGGAAAGTATACAGATACCTTTAAGACAGAAATCAGACTCAAACTTGAAAAAAAAAGTCTATGCTTTTAATAGACTTACAATATTAAACTCATTTTTTTAATGTTTCCTTGCCTTGTAACAGTTAGTTACTATATTAATGATGCACAACACCTTATCTAAGCCTCTGATTTGCAGGAAATTTCATCAGCGGTATACCAAATGCCGTGGTTAGTCTTTATTTTGAAACATCAACTAGAAAAAGACAACGGAGTTAACACAGCAGTGATGAGTTCCTCTGCATCTGGAATTGTCATATGGTGTGGTCTATGTAAACAAAAAATTAGGCATTAAAGACTTCAGTGTTTTAAACCAGACCAGTGTATTTGTGGGGAAATTTCAGTCCAGAAATAATGACAGGATTAAAAACAGAATTGTCCATACACCCAGGTTCCTCACAAAGGCTGAGGGTCTTATTTTAGTGGGACCATGTTTATTCCATATTTCTCCTTCAAGAGTTTCAGCTGTTCTTCCTTTCTCTTCGTATCAATCTTATGCCTAAAATAAAATAAAATATATTGTGAATAAATCAAACTCTTTCCATTCAGACCAATTCTATCAATATTATTAAAACAATCTTATTTGCTCCTATTTAACCAATCGCAACACCAGGAAATCACGATGCATTATATTTAACTATGTCTCCATATAAATGCATGTATTTAGCTCCTCAAAACCGAATCAAGGTGTTTGGAAAGGGACCAATGCCACACTAAGTTGACTTCAAAGAATACTGTACAAGAAGCCTTCCATTTTGCCACTGCTTTAAGTCCAGTTGTTGGGATAAATATTTATTAAAATAATTATGAATAAACTAATTTGGGATCCAAAGTTCAATGGGAAGAACTCAAATGTGTCTAGAGCAGGGAGGTGTACAAATCTGTTAACAACCTGTGAATAGCCACCCTTCTCAACTGTATGTAGCAAGTAATCCCTTCTCAATTGTATGTAGCAAGTAATCCCCTCCACTTAATCCAGCAGGGAAGTGTTTGTAAATTGCAAACTGTTTCAGGTCACCATGCCAAAAATAACTAAATCTAGCCATGCATGTGTCTGCAAACACGAGGACCAACATTCCATCCACCCTAGCTGTCCTTTCTGATGGCAGGAAAGTTTATTCAGTTTTCTAAGTCTTGCTGACCCACCAACAAGGGTTCTTTAGCAACTAATACTGGTGTGGATCTCTTTTTTTTTAAATGCAGAGGGACTTTGAGCATGTCTCCAAGGTTCTGGAGAAGATGGAAAGGAATGAGATATACTGAGTCTGCCTACTATAAAAAACACCCCCATGCCTGTTTTGAGCCTCCATATTAGTTATTTTCACTGTAGCTTTCTTACATAATGCCACCATGTCCTTTGGGGTGGACCTGTTACCGAAACGAGACCCAAAGAAGGGGAAATCAGCTTTAAAAGAGTTCCAGAGAGGAAGAACACGGCACCTTCGTAGCCTCTGTATACCAGGTTGGCTCTCGGTAGCGGTACCCCAAAATAAAAATATGAAGGAAGCAATGCTCCCTCTAAACTGTGGAGTCTTGTGAGCAAAAATTCTCCTTTGTGAGCTACTGGCATTAAAGTTGTGAGCAAGCGATTTGGCTGCTGCATCAATTAGTTTACTCTGGAGCCATCCTTCCTGAGCTAAGACAAAAATGTGTGAGCTGGAGGCTAAAAAATGGTGAGCTAGTTCACACTAACTCAGCTTAGAGGGAACACTGCTCTGGAGCCCTCCTTCCTGAACTAAGACAAAAATGTGTGAGCCAGAGGCTAAAAACTGTGTGCTAGCTCACACTAACTCAGAGAGAACACTGGAAGGAAGACAGTGAGATTGATTGTAAACCAAACAAATAATTGTATTGTGTACAAAATAAAGTAAAAAGAATAAAAATGTAAAGAACCTACACCAAGCACCTGAAAACTAATTTCCTAAATAATCACACATGAACACACTCACACCAAGAGGGCACACTTATAAAAGGTAGGGGGAAAGAAACTGGGAACTTTTAGGGAAGGGACATATCACCTGAAATCCTTGCCTGGAGGTCCCAGCTGAGGTCCAAAGAGCAGAGCAAGGAGAAAAAAGAACACAGTTGCAAGGGTGTTCAGATTGTGGGAACACCTGGCACACTTTTCACTGACTTGGGATGGTCTTTTTTGGGAAAGGGTCGCACAGATAGATGTG